TTCCCCCATATCCCGCCCCCCCCCCCCCTTCCTCCGCACTTACCTAAATCACTGGGTTCTTCTCCACACAGACTTGCTGCGATCTTTTGAATTCGACACGGCTGTGAGGTGCTTCGTCCACGCAGCCCTGTCATCCATTCACAGGTCCTTTTGACACGTGAAAAATTGCAAGTCCCATTAGCCACTGCGGCAGATCTCCATAAAATACAAGTGTGATGATGTCCATCCATTCTTCCTCCTGTCCATGTTGCTGAATGTCCATACCGAGGTACAGACATGGACGGGAGGAAGAGTCTGCAGAAGCCAGAGCATTGCACCTGCAAGCTACTATGTGCATTGTTGATGTGTTTATTTGGCTAGAAATGCACGTGCTTTATTTCCATCACATTCGTGGCAGCGCATGTATTTATTGCATGCGTTGTGCACGGGGGGGTGGGGGTCGGAATGTTTTTGTTTTTTTTTATTTCTTGTATGATTATGGAACTATTGGACTATTGGCAGTGCACTGCGACCGGCATGTGGTGCCGAATGTTACCAAGCAATAGTCTGAAGAGGCTTTATAAAGGCTTCTACAGCATCTTCAGTGATTTCCCCTGTTGCCATTCCTGTAATGTAATCTCATATAATGTGCACACTGCACATCTACATATATTTGGAGAGTGTTAGTAACTGGTTTTTAATTTGCTTGTATTGGGGATATATGGATACTAGTATCGGTGCCGATACCAAGAGTACTCGCACTTGCCCAAATGCTCCTGATGCCTATCCCAATACTGGGGCTTCCTTATTGGCTGGGAATCCCCTCAGCTTCTTGATTGGCTGGCTCCATGCTTCCTCGTCACCTGGCTAATTGGGAAGCCGAGTGGTGAGTCATTGCACGCCGCCCGGCTTCCTTAATGGGACTTCCGGTATTTGGACTTTCTGGACACTATTGATAAAAAAAATGATTTTCATTGAGTGGATATATTTTTTTCCACTTCTGAGGTGATTTTGTTTCATATATGGTGGCGGTATGTAAAAGTGCTCATTATATAAGATTTCTGTAGTTAGGGGTATACTGTACATTTTTGCTGCTACTAGTTTGAGAATAGGGAGGAACGCAGACTCCACACCGTTTATATTCCTGTAAGGTAGACCGTAACCAGTTCACTTCACACATGTACACCTCCTATGGACTAGAGTAGTACATTTATGCTGCAAGGCTTTCTTTTGGTGATCTTGTCTTTCAAAAATTATCTTAAAGTTTTAAGTATTTTTTTTGTTTGTTTTGCAAGTGTTAAGTGCTTGCCTTCATGTAGAGACGAAAATAAAAGTTATACTCGCCTAAACATCAGCGCTGGATGGCTGCTAGACCGGTCCCTGCGGCCTATCTTCCCCCTCCACTCCAGCAGTCTAAGGCCCTGTGAGAGCATCAGGTCCTATATAGTGCATAGGACATGAGGATGTCGAGGGACAGGGAGGGTGCAGGCTGTGGTGACCGGTCTAACAGTCTCTGAGGATCAGGCGAGTTTAACTTTATTTTCGGCCCTAGAAAAAAAAAAATTAGCATTTAACCATCGCAGTGCAGGGGCAGCCCCACTGCAAGGGTTAAGAATATTTCGGATCCGAATCCCGTTGAAACGAAAACTAATATTACCTCTGTGACTGAGGTTGAACAACATGACAAGATTTGTCTGAAATACGAAATTCCGTTAACGAATTTCGGATCCAAAGTTCGTTACAACGGAAAAGTGACTGTTTGAATGACCAATAACCAATCAGAGGTTTTCGTCAGCTGCTGAGGGAGGGTTGGGAAAATTACAAAATTCAAATAAGCTTTATTGGCAGGACCAAATACATTTTAGCATTGCCAAAGCATATGGGGAGGTTAATTACCTTTTTTAATATGGGAGATGCAGAATCGGACGAAATAAGAATGTTTGTTAATATCGTTTAATTATCATAATTCCGATTATTCGTTATGATAAATTTACCTTTTTTTAATATGGGAAATTGGAGTCACCAGTAGAGATGGTCCGCAGGTTCGATTGAACATGAGTACGAATCGAACATTGTTCGTTCGAGCGTTGTGGGAGCCCCTCATAATGAGCACAGCAGGTGTACAGACCCGGGAAGTCAGCACAGCACAGGGATGGTGGGAGCCCCTCATAATGGGCACAGCGGGTGTACAGACCCAGGATGTCAGCACAGGGATGGTGGGAGCCCCTCATAATGGGCACAGCAGGTGTACAGACCCAGGATGTCAGCACAGGGATGGTGGGAGCCCCTCATAATGGGCACAGCAGGAGTTCAGACCCGGTAACCCCTCATAATGAGCATAGCAGGTGTACAGACCCAGGAAGTCAGCACAGCACAGGGATGGTGGGAGCCCCTCATAATGGGCACAGCGGGTGTACAGACCCAGGATGTCAGCACAGGGATGGTGGGGGCCCCTCATAATGAGCACAGCAGGTGTACAGACCCGGGATCGGCCAGCTCATTGACTTTGTAAAAGCACCTTTTTAATATGGTGGAAGGTGAGCCCTTTAAGCAACTGATGGAGGCTGTTGCACCCCAGTACCGTGTTCTATCACGCAAGACATTCAGCCAAACTGGTGCCAGCCTTATTTAAGTCTTGTGTTGGGGTGCTGAAGGAGGAGATTGGAAGGGCAGGTGGACAGGCAGTGCACCTGACTACTGACCTGTGGAGTACACTTTTAAAGCAATACCCAGAGACATTTGATGAACTGTATCAAAAAGTATTTATAAAATTTTAAAAAAAACAAAACATTTTTTTTACAATTTTTCTAGAACATCGAGGGTATTGGTAACGTTGACATCCACTTCCACCAGTTGTTCTTTTATACTCTCGATCTTCCGTTTCTGTGCCCAAAGTTCAGCAATGCAGCGCCGCAGAGTAGACCGATCTAACTGCTGCATGTCCAGTGACTCTTGAGCCATATGTACCAGAAAATTACATTTTTAAAATAAGGCAGTTTTTTTGTTTTACAATACAAATGTTTGTTTATAAATCAAACAGTGCATACCAGAGGTTGTGGCCCCCTCCACATATTCCATCTCTTCAACATTGGGTGTTGCACTGTCAATTCCGGGCCTGGTGCTGTGGTTCTTGTTGTGGACTAGTATTGTCCCTTGTTGCACTGGCTCTTCTACTCTTTCTCTGTTCTTTTTCTGTGATTAAAGCCAACTAAAATCAATCTAAATAACGCAGAGATGATAATAGGGCATGTACTTCAAATTTTTCTTTTGTTATTTTGTAATGACGTTTTGTATGATATTTGGGATTCTTAAAATTCTGAAGAACTTTGAGAAGACAGGAGAAGTGCAAAATGAAGGACAAAATCGATGAAGTGGACAGTGAGCTGAATTGGGGAATATTTCCACATCAACTCTTTGGCACTACACATTGCTCACTTCTCCTACATTGGCCAAACTCTTCACCCTTTTGTAAATATCACTTATTCTGCTTGATTTATCTTCAACTGCAGCACTAAAAGTTATTTTACTACAATTTCTGGGCCTAAGGTCATTTCTCAATGTTGGGTTCAACTTTATGGCACTAAGCCAAGACGTCATCGTGCACGCGGCAATCTTCGCGATACCTGCCTGCGGTCATCTTGGTGATAAACGCTGGCAGAGCGAGGGGGGGAAGTCACCTTGCGAGATAAGGTATGCCACTGGGTCCCCTCCTCTCTCTCCTGATACTGTCGGGCAGTCGGTCCATGACCGAGCGCACCGACTTAGCAGAGGGTGGGTGACAAAATTACTGTCAGTCATTTTGTTGTCGCACCTCCAAATGTGTCAACTGGGTGCGGTCAGCACCCACTGCACCCCCTTGTGACGCCAATGCATGTTATTGCTGCAGGTTATATACATTGTACAGATTTGCCACTTTACAGGCAGTTTAAGTCCACCCACCCAGGCATGATATTTACTTAGTAATTTTTTGGGTTTCACTTTGGTGCAGAAATGACTGCTCCTTAAAAACGGTATTTAATTTTTTTTTTTTTTCTTTTATCATTGATTCCTGTGCCCCAGGGAAGTACCCGGTTCAACATATACTTTTTATGGCAATTAACGTGCATGTAATGCTGGGCACACAGCTTACAACCATGGCAAGACTTTTGTCTTGCCATGGTTGTAAGGTAATTAAAAAAAAACGTACGATCTGCCTTTGGACAGGCAGATCGTACTTGCGATGATCGCAAGCCCGCCCCGCTGAGGGGAGGGCTTCCGATGACCGCAATGCTGAACGGGCAGTGTGCGCTTGCGCACTCTGGCCCGTGCGGCTTTCATCTTGCGAACATGCCACAAACCAGCCGAAAATCGTACGATGTTCGGCTGCTTTTCGAACATGTTCCTAAGATAAAAGTTGTGCGACCTTACAGTAGCAGAGGTCGCACGCCTTCCACGCACCTTACGATAATCGTACGATCGCGGGATTTCCCGCGATTATTGTACGATTATGGCAAGGTGTGTGGGCACCTTTTTAAGGCTTCAAACGCCCAAGTCTACCCCCATAGACTTTCATTGATTTTCGAATTCAAACTTTTTCCATATTCTAATTTTAAAATTCAAAACAAACTTGTCTGTTCAGCCCATCATTACTTACAATGAGGGGACTTTATCAAAACTGGAACAGACAGAATCTGGAGCATTTGCTCATGAAAACCAAGCAGATTTATAGCTTTAATTTTCAAAGTTAAAGGAGAAGTATGAGGTGAGAGCTTTTCACTCACCTCATAGTTCTAGCTGACCTGTCAAAATGAGACTGTCACAGGTTGGCTCAGTAGATCGGGAAGTGAGCGAACACATACCGGCGTTCGCTCACTTCTCGATCCTGTCACAGCTTTCTGCCATGACGGGAGGGGCTGGATTCCCCCCTCCCCGCTCCGATCCGCCAGCGCTGACTGCTCGCGGTATACTGAGCCTAGGGTG